ATAATTGTTTTTCAAAATATTTTTGAAACATTTAATGGACACAAATAATGTCATATATTTATGATGAAAATGTGAAATGTATTAGTACCAAAAAAAAAAATGTGAAATGTATGTATGTTAAATACTGTGTCAAAGTAAAAATATTCAGTCAAAGACAAATTGAAAAGGAAACCGTGAATTTTTCAATTGAAGTAACAAATAAAAGCCTAAATTTCATGACTGAGATTATTCCAGATTTTCTTTGCATTTTTAACTTTAAAAAAGGTTATTTTTTCTGCTCTTATTGTAGATAAGTTATCTACATTAAACTCAAAATGACGTTGTTTTATGGCAGAAATCAAGATATTTTTATGGGAAAGGATATTATAACAACCAAGTTGTGTTACTACCATGTTACTACCAATCAATCTCACCGTTAGATCGATTATGTTGATTCAACGATTATATTTATTTTCATCTTTGTATGGTTATGATTCCCAATATTTAAAGTGAAAGCATTAAATATGGAAAATCATAACCATACAGAGGTGAAAATAAATATGAAATATTAAATTTGGAAATCATGACAATACAAAGATGAAAATAAATATAACCGTTGGATCAACATAATCGATCTAACGGTGAGATTAATTGGTAGTAACTTCATAATTGGTGTGACGTATAAGGCATGATAATATAAGCTTATACTATACATTATGACATTTTCAGTCATTTGGTCTGACCATCGTATAGTATAAGCTTATACAGCATAATCCCTTAATACGCATCAAAATGATGTATAACTTAATTTGGCCTAAAGGTAAGGGATAAGGCCTGATAAGATATTGATGTATTAACATCGTTGACCAATGTAATTCTCAAAAATTAATATATTATTTTAATATTAGTCTATTAAAATAAAAATTAATTTTTCAATATATTAATTTTTAAAATATTAAATATTTTTATTTTTATAAAAATTAATTTATATTTTGGACACACTGATCAATAAACTTTTATGAAAATTAATATTATATGACATTTTTTGAATAATTATATAAATTCTTTATTAAAAGATATTTTTATACTATATAATATTATAAAGTGTATTACCAAATACTAGATGATATTATCTTATACAATATATATATATATATATATATATATATATATATATATATATATATATATATATATATATATAAGGAGAGTTCAATGTTAGAAACTTTGCTTATGTTTCACTCCCTGCTTAATTCTCAAAATTGTGTTCACACTACATGGCATATAAAAACTTTCCTTTCTGGGTAAATTGGAAAAATAATTTATATTAAAAATTGAATTTTATTTTGTAAATCGAAAAATAAATGATGACCTGTGGTGGCAGACAAGGCATCGAATGTCCCACGACCCATCACATTGGTATCTAAAAAGAAATCAGCTGTTTTAATTGCTTTTTACATTGGAATTGGTCATCTTATCTATAATTCGAAATTTGAAATGGTTTAAAATTTTGAATTTAAATATGAATGGTGGGAAAAGAATTTGAAAGGTTTGGGTGGCACTCAGCTAATTGAATCAGACGAAATTTTTTTCTTTTGTTGCTTGGTTCTATAAAAGGGAACATTGTGCATTGGTATTTCGTTTTTTCCCTCCCTTATTCAATTGTTCATCTTTTTCGTCTTTTCTGTGTCCTGATTCTTTTCGTTTTTTCGTCTACTGCCTCTTTTCGTGTTTTCCTTCTTCCCAGAAGAAATGATTTCCATATATGATTTTATAAAGGATCTTAATCCTACAAAGGAGGACTGGAGGATTAAGGTTAAGGTTGTTCGTTCTTGGCAGGTTCCTGACTTTCAACATAAAGGTTTAGACGACAATGTTGAGATCGTTCTGTTGGATGAACGGGTATATAATACTGATCATTTTTTTATTGTTTTCGTCACTGTTGTTATGATTTTCGTTTTGTGTTGTTGATACTTTGTCTTTCCCTTTTTTTGTAGGGTGGAAGGATCCATGCCACTGTCAAGGGAACTCTGCAGGTCCGGAAGGAAAAAAATTACGGACGTTTATTTTATAAAAAATTTCGGAGTTGGATTCAGTAGCGGTAATTTTAGGCCAACCCAACATGATTATCCTCTGTCTTTCAACTTGAGGACTGATGTTCGATCGATTGTTCAACCTAATTTTCCTGCGAATGTATTTGATTTTGTTGATTACGATGTTATTGAGAAAGAATCGTCTGATTCTCCTTATTTAGTAGGTAATGTTATGTAATGTTTAATGACCGTTGTTGATTAATAATGTTTTGCAATTTTAATTATAAAATTAGTGTTGTCTTCTTTGCTCTGTAGACGTCATTGGTTTACTGTCAGGAGTTGGGGAAGTTTGCGAGCATGTAATTTTCGGCAGGAAAACAAAGATGATTGTGTTAGAACTTGACAATCTTAGGTATACAAAATGTTGATTTTTTATACAGTGTCTTAACCGAATTAAATTGTTTGTAACCTTCTTCTGTCTGCTTCCAATGTAAAGGGGTCAAAAGCTGGAATGCACTTTGTGGGAGCATTATGTGGATGAGGTACAATCTTTTTTGGCAAGCAATGACACTCCTCGTAAGGTGATGATTGTTCAACTAGGGAGGATAAAGGGTTTTAGGGGTATGTGTTTTGTTGCGTTTTTTTTTTCTACATGTATCTGATTTAATTTTTTTGTCAAGCAATTATTCCTCATAAAGTAATTTTGTTTCTTCATTGTTTATGTATTGGATAGGTAAAATTGGGTAACAAATACAAAATATACGACAAAAATTGTCATGGATTCGAATTTGCCTGAGATTGTGGAGTTCAAAAAATGGTTTGCATATTATCCTTTGTGCTGCTGCTGCTGTGATTTTTTTTTTTGTATATAAACTTATGTTGTTATGAATGTTTACATTTTAGAAGTTGCAGTTTGTTTGTCAGATCGTTTTTCCTTCTGTTCATTTGCAGACGTCTTTTTTTGATAGCAGATAAACGTTACACTTTCTACTAACTTGGAAGAACGATAGAACAAAGATTGTAAATCATTATTAATCAACAGAAAGATGGAAATTGTAAATCAACGTGTATATTAACCAAGAATAGCAGATAAATGTTTGTAAATTGAAGAAAGTGTAATGTTTAAGAAATATATTAACCAATAATCCTTAACTTAATTAACATTTGTGTAAGGTTGCAATACAACATAATTATATTGATAAACTTATATTGATAAGCCTTATATATAATAAAACTTATGTTGAATAATAAATTATTATATTTAACAACAAAATTATTTATTTATGCATTTCCCAGAAATAAATCCAACTCAATTTATATTAAATTTACTGGTCATTTATAATAATTCTATTTATAAATTTCCAACTCAATTTATATTAAATTTACTAGTCATTTATAATAATTCTATTTATAAATTTCACATTAATTTATACTTAAGGTAAATTAATTATTGGAGCTTAACGATTTTCAGTTTATATATTTGAAATTTTATTTAAATATAACTATATTTCAGAATATATTACGGTTTGGTCTTTTCATTTTAATTGTAATTTTAAAATTACAACTGGCCATTGATAAAATTAAAGCAATATGGTTTTTGTTCCTTGTGTAGAAATGTAAGTTTGCGCCTTTTTTTCAATGATGTTGTAAAAAAACATTTTTAATTAGAAACTCTAGAGACAGTCCTTTCATCTTCCCTCCATCAGCAAAAAACATATTTTTATCTGACTGTTCCATTTCTTCCAAGCAAGTTCAGCGCTGTCAAACTTGCTCTTTTTAGTAGTTCCTGAATCTAAAAAAACATATTGGATGCTGTAAAACTTAGTCATTTATTCCAACCAGTTTCGGCGCTGTGATGAATAAACATCAATCAGATTTCCAAACTCCCCCAAATAAGAGAAGAAGCACGAACCATTTAAAAAATATTTTGAGTAATTCTTCGACCTCAGGCTGTCGTGTGTTGTCTCCATTTACTGGTAAGTGCGAAACGCTATCCTTCTATCTAAACCTTGGAATAAATGAGCTTTTTTTTCCTTCGTAAAAAAATTACATCTATATATCATACATGGTCCTATTCTTAATATTTGGTTAATTTTTTTTGTTAAGTTCCTCACAATATGCTTTGTTCATAATTTCGCTTTATTTTTCTCTCCTCACCAACTTTGTCTTTGTTAACCCTTTTTTTTCGTTGTATTTCTAAATTTTGTTCAGATGCTTTTCTTACGGAGGATTCTATAAAAAACATAACGCTTGTAGAAATTGATAAGGTGTTGCAAAGCAACGGTAAATCCCTTTCTGAGTACCCATCCATGCCGAGTATCATCGGTGAATCTTTATTGGATATGTAGAATAGATTGGTGATGGATGAATTGTTGTATGACGGTTTGTCTTTGAAAAAAGAGCATGACAGACTACTGAATTCACTCACTGATGAGCAGAGGGTTGTTTATGACAAAATAATTTCAATTGTTTCAGTAGGTAAAGGGTTTTTTTTTTCCTGTACGGATTTGGTGGTACTGGAAAAACATTTATTTGGAACACCCTGTCAGCATTTGTTCGATCAAGAGCTGGAATAGTGCTTAATGTTGCTTCTAGCGGAATTGCTTCACTTCTACTTCCGAGAGGACGTACGGCACATTCTAGATTTCGTATTCCTATTTATATCACCGAAGATTCAACGTGTAATATAAAACAAAATTCTACTTTGGCAGAGTTGTTGTCAAAAACAAAGTTAATCATTTGGGATGAGACCCCGATGGTACACAGATTTTGCTTTGAGGCTCTTGATAGAACACTTAAAGATGTTCTTAGATTTTATGATACCAGCTGTGTTGATATGCCCTTTGGTGGAAAAGTTGTCGTTCTAGGAGGTGACTTTCGGCAAATATTACCGTCATTCCACATGGCAGTAGACAAGAGATAGTTCATGCAACCATCAATTCTTCCTATCTATGGTCCTATTGTCATCTGTTATCTTTGACCAAGAACATGCATCTTAATTCTGGAAGTAGCACTAATAATTCGTTGGAAATAAAAGAATTTTCTGAGTGGCTGCTTAAAATAAGAGATGGTGATCTTGGAGATGATGTTGATGGAGAATCTATTATAACAATTCCAGATGAATTATTGATCAAAGGTTCAGAAGACCCACTTTCAGATATTGTTGATTTTGTCTACCCGAATCTGATGGATAATATATTAAATCCGACTTTCTTTAAAGAACGTGCTCTTCTAACTCCTAAATTGTCCAATGTTGCCATGTTAAACGAGCACCTAATGGCCGTGATTCTGGGTGAAGAAAGGACATTTTTGAGTTCAGATAAGGTTTTGAAACAAGACGGTAATTCATCTCTTGAGGATGACGAAATCTCCCCTGAAATCTTAAATACATTCTCATGTTTGGGGATTCCTGATCATAAATTAACTTTGAAGGTTCAAGTACCGGTTATGCTATTGAGAAATATTGATCAATCAAGAGATTTATGCAACGGTACGAGATTACTTATTACAAAATTGGGGAATCATGTTGTTGAGGCAATTGTTCTTACAGGAAACAATATAGGAGATACTGTGTTAATCCCTAGAATGACGATGAGCCCATCGGGTCATACATTTCTAGTAAACTTCCAAAGAAGACAATTCCCCTTGGTAGTTTCGTTTGCGATGACTATCAACAAAAGTCAAGGTCAGTCGCTGTCTCATGTTGGCATTTATCTTCCTAGGCCTGTCTTCACTCATGGGCAATTATATGTGGCATGTCGAGTATCGGTTGGGAATGTTTCTTATTATAATGCTGTCAACATGACATTTAGATTTTTTTAATGTACAATTTGCTGTCAACCATGGAATTTACTGTGTTTAAATTATTATATTCTTTTTTTATGTCACACGAACAAATCGATTTTTTTTATTAATTCGTTTACGGGACAAACAAACCGATTTCTTTCTTCTCCGTGCATCGCACGGGTAATCAACTAGTTATTTTATACAATACCGTGCGAAACGCTGGATAGTATTAAAATTCAATCAGGTCTTATACAATCAGGCCTTATACTATCAGGTCTTATACTATCTGGTCTTATATTATACTATGCACCAAACATGCCCAAAATATCCTTTCCCTATTTGGATTCCTTACATCTAGGGGTGTTCATCAATCGATCCAAACCGATTTAAACCGCGATAACCGAACCGAAAAACCGATAACCGAACAAACCGGAAACCAAAAAATCGAAAACCGAAAAAAAAAACCGCAACTTTTAATTGGATTGGATCAATTTTCAGATTGCTTAATGAAAACCGATCCAATTCAAACTGATCCAATATATTAATTCTCCTTTGCTTATTTTGGTCTTTCTCCAATCATAATCCAAAAATTTCTAAACCCAAGACCCATTAACCCATCAACTAAATCCAAGAAAAAATCTAGTCACATCTTATCAACAAAATTTCATCTGCGTAGAGCTTCATATCTCATTGTCCCCCCAAAAAAACTATATTATCGTTTACTGATCCTTTTGTATTTCAATTTTTTTTACAAAGCCTATATATATAAAAGATGTTATCTGCATAAAACAAATTTTAGAATTTTCAAAAAATCGAAAACCGATCCAATCCAAACCGAAAAAAATTGTATTGGATCGGATTTGAAAAAAAGTCCAAACCGAATAGATGATTACATGGTCAAACCGAAGGGATTGGATCAGATGATTTTTGCTTCCAAAACCGATCCAATCCAAACCGCGAACACCTCTATTCACTACTGAGTGGTGTAGCCATGTTTTATTTAGACAGGGCATGAGTTCCGACTATATTTCAATAAATTTTATTTATTATATATAATTATATAAGTAATGAGAGATGTTATACTTACAACCTATTTTCTGTTACAACCTATTTTTCTTTACAATCTCTTACAATCAATATCTTAACCGTTGATTTTCATTAATCAACGGTTAAGATTTATTGTGAATTAATAATTATTTAATAAATTTTATTTGCAAAAATCTTAACCGTTGATTGACGGAAATCAACGGTTAAGATATTGGTTGTAAAGGAAAATAGGTTGTAAGTATAACATTCCCCATAAGTAATTATAATTGGGTCCTAACTAAAATTGTAAGTTGGTCCTAACTAAAATTATGACAGTGGTATTAGACGAAGATTTGAAGCTACTTTGCGTGTGATAATAGATTGCTTTCTTCTTAATTTCTTCTTTTTCTTCTTTCATCTTTTTTCAATTAGGTTTTCTTCTAACTTTTTTTTTCTTATTCGCACTCACCACCGGAACCCAGTCATTCTGCGACAAGATACGATATTTCGTTCCTTTCTCAAGATTTAACGGATACATGTTCTTGGAATATGCATTGGTAATTATATTGTCCGATGGGAAAAAAATCGATTTACATTTTTGAACCTTGTAAAAAAGAAATAATTTATTTTTGCTGACCATAATTGTTTATTGGGTGTTTCAATTCAAACATGAGTGAAATTCTTGCCCTTTTTTTGGGATAGGATATTGTTACTACAAAATAATATTTTTTTTTTTGGGTAAGCTACTACAAAATAATGTTACTACATATCTTAACCGTTGATTTTCGCCAATCAACAGTTATTATTTTCACAAATTAAACTCATTAATTAATTATTAATTCGCAATAAATGATAACCGTTGATTGGCGGAAATCAACGGTTAAAATATGATAGTAATACTGGTAGTAACATTATTTGATAGTAACAATATCTTATCCTTTTTTATTTACAACTTTTTTGTGTGTGGTTGTATTTATTGATTTTATTTCTTTGAAAAAACTGGAGTGTTGTTTTATGTTTACCTTTTTCTTAAAATTATTTTAGTGTAGAGCTACAATTGCTATTAATAATGGAATTAAATTGTTTCTTGGTGTTATTTGAATTTGATTTCACAACAGGAATGAAAATTTTGAAGATTAATTAGTGAAAACTATTAAAGAAAAAAATCAATGAAGATATATGCATATATATGGAATATGAAAATTTCTTGTACATACGTATTAAAAAGTTCTTTTTTTTGTATTCTTAAATTTTTAAAAATATCTAAACACTGATTAAATGATTTATGTGGATCTAATGTCATTTAAATGATTTTAGACATTTGTTGTTGTTTGTTCCATGTTTCTTTTTAATTGTGAAGTTTGTTGTATCCCTCTATGTTGATGTTCTTCATAGGTCACGACTAGGGGTGTAAATGAGGCCAGGTTAGGTCAGGTTTTGGCTTTAATAGTCTAAGCCTATGAGAAATATTTAGAGCTTATACTGGCCTATTATCCTATTAAAGGCTTGATTTATGGGTCTGGCCTGACCTATTTTAAAAAATTAAAAACCTAATACGGCATGTAAGGCCTACCAAGTTGTAAACTAAGTTTATAAACTCAAACGAAATTGAAATATATAAGATAAAATTTCTTATTCACAAAAATCACATGAAATAAATTTTCATTAACATCACATGAAATAATGTTCATAAAGATCACATGAGAATATTCATAAAACTAACATGAAAATTTCAAATATGTATATATACATATAATTTGCACTTTATTTACTAATTTAATTTTATATTATATTTTAAACTTTAAATAAATATTTACTATTTGTTAAAATAACATAAATCCTATAACTTTGAAAATCAATGTTATAAATCATGATCTCAGAATATGTCTTTAAGTGAATAATATATGTCATAAATATATTATATTATTAAAAAAATTAAAAGGTTAGCCTGGAGATATGTCAAATTTTTCCTAATAGATTTGTGTAATTACGATAAATATTTTGATAATTTGATATGTCAAATTTTTTGGCCTCGCTAAAATTAAATCTTAGCTCCGCCACGGTCACTACTTACAATAAACTAAAATATTGTGCCAATAATGAAATGTTTGCTTGTTTCAATGTACCTTCCAGTGAATAAAGTGCTCATCTCGCGTATGTTTATCAGAGCATAAATTAATTCGGTGATTAGCATTAACAAAATGGTGAAACAAGTAGTCATGCAGTAGACAAAGGTAATTAGCATCATTCTAGAGAATCGAACACATGATTCACACGAAAGAGTTTGTTATATGAGACAAAGATGGAGTGAGGATCTAGAAACCGATCCTAGACAAAATGTTAACACTGTTGTTAGCTTACCAACATACACATAAGATGGTGACCACAAGTGAATTGCCTAAGAATCGAATCAAGTTAATTTTGAAAATGACCCATTGACCCAAAACTTATTAATTAATCAACAGTTGATTTCCACCAATCAACGGTTATCATTTATTTAGAATCAAACTTATTAATTAATCATTAATTTACAATAAATGATAACCGTTGATTGACAAAAATTAATGGTTAAGATTTGGTGTCAAATTTCAAAATTTGGCTGTCAAAGAATACTGCCCCATATATATATATATATAGAGATAGGATCATTTGACTAGTGCAAAAAAATTGGTTCACTTCCCCTGCTCTTGATCTGACCTTGACCTGACCCATAAATACCTATTTTTTTGAACTGGGTTTAAATACTGACCCACTTTTATTTGGGTCAGTTTTAGACCTGACTTGTTTTAATAATGACCCATTGACCCAAAACTTGACCCATACCACTATGTGAAAAAAAAAGAAAAAAAAAATCACAATTACATTAAAAGAAAAGTTTTAACGTAAAACAACAATTTCGTCAAAATATCTTACGAAAAATATTTTCATCAAAAATTTTCGCAAAAATTTTTGACGAAAAATATTTTTATCAAAATTTGTGACTAGAAACATTTTTGTAAAAAATTTGACGGAAAATTTTTTTTGTCAAATTTTTTTACGGAATCTAAATTTTGACGAAACACATTTCCATCGAAATTCTTTAACGGAAAAAAATTTATCACAATTCTTTACAGAATTCAAATTTTGGCGAAAGTTTTCGACGGAAATATTTTCATTAAACTTTTAGACAAAAACATTTCGTCAAAATTTTTAGCGAAATACGTTTCCATCGAAAATTTTCGACTAAATATTTTTGTCAAATTTTAGCGAAACACTCTACAAGGTGAAGCAAAGTCGATGCTGCATCAGTCTCATTCATGGGCAATTTCAAATTATCTCTGAGCTCTTTCAATTCAGCTCTAAGCTTTTTCAACGAAGCCATCAGTATTTGAAGCTTATCTGAACTAAGATCATCAATTGGGAATTCAACATCTATGACCTTGTTTCTGTTCAGAGCATTTTCAAGTATGTCCTTCTCCTTCTTCTCCACCTTCAGCTGGTACACCAGATCATCAACCTTCTGATTAAGCTCGTTAACATCACCATCTTTTGAAGGTTCACCTTGGCCTTGTCCTCGGTGAATGAACTTATTAGTCACAACCTCAATGGTTGGATAACCAAAAGAGAAGGCTTTGCCACCAGGAGAGAATGCAATGACACCCATCATAGCACCACTAAGAATTGACAACTCACTTGCTTTCTTAAAAAGGCCACTCCTACACTTGGAAAAAGTGCACTGCAAAGCACTTTTGTTCTTCACCAATTTCATCTCAGTTTTTCTATGAACCATGACTCCTTCCTTTTACCCGATTCCCCTTCTTTCCCAATAGAAGTTGTGCAAGAGAAATGATCAAATTGTATTTTGTTGTAATTTTGGGAATACTTTTCGCAAACAATAGAAGACAGAACAGTCCAAGAAAGAATAAAGAAAGCATAAGGAGACAGAACACCAGTATTTACAGGTTCAGAAACTCAGTGTTAGTGAGTTTCCTACGTCCTGGGGCCTAAAGAGGGTTAAACGCCCTCTGATA